AAAATACTTATTGTCCTTCAAATGTACTTTATTTGTGTGTAACCTATATTTTGATAGACTGATTGATTGATTGTTTTTCTTACTGTTATTTTTATAAAGACTTATTTTAAAACAAATGTTCTATGCTGTTTGTTTGCAAGCGTATCTCGAAAAGGTTTAAAGATAAACAATTATTACCAACAGGTGGTGGAAGCGCCTGCCAAAGAGGCAGCTGGTGGAGTGGCTGTTTCTACGGTGGAGTGGTGCTGGGTGGCGGCCATCATGGAGCGGCGAGGAGGGGCGCTCGAATACCTTTGCTCAGGCGCCCTCGTGGAGGCCGACCTCGTCCTCACTGCAGCCTCCTGTCTCAAGAGGTCGGCTCACAGCTTTTAAAAAATAGCCCGAGATCACATATTTCATTAATTGTAGTCACAGATACACATTTTTCACTAGATATCAAAAATATTTCGGTGTTTCAATAGCCACCTCGTTTGTATCTCCAAAAGACTGAACATGAGTGACCTGTACCGCTACATCGTGATTCTCGGCGACAGCAACCTGAGCGAGGACCTGCCCTACGGGGTGCAGTTCCACTCCGTCGCTGAAGTGGTCATCCACCCGACCTATTCCACCTCCGGGGACGTCCACGCGAATGATATAGGTGAGCGTCCCGGGACCTGGGCTCTTTCACAGAAGACAAAGAACTGGTGCGGTTATCATGGGCAACACTGTTACGAACATAATGTAATTTTAAAATCTATCTGTCTCTGTCTGTCGGTCTGCCTTTCTCTCTCTCTCTCTCTCTCTCTCTCTCTCTCTCTCTCTCTCTCTCTCTCTCTCTCTCTCTCTCTCTCTCTCTCTCTCTCTCTCTCTCTCTCTCTCTCTCTCTCTCTCTCTCTCTCTCTCTCTCTCTCTCTCTCTCTCTCTCTCTCTTCTCTCTCTCTCTCTCTCTCTCTCTCTCTCTCTCTCTCTCTCTCTCTCTCTCTCTCTCTCTCTCTCTCTCTCTCTCTCTCTCTCTCTCTCTCTCTCTCTCTCTCTCTCTCTCTCTCTCTCTTTCTCTCTCTCTCTCTTCTCTATATTGCAGGCATGTTGCGGCTGACTGACCACGCCACCCTCAGCCACCAGGTGTGTCTGGTGTGCCTGGCCCAGCAGGGTGCCGCCTTCCCTGTACACAGCTGTGTCCTCTCTGGCTACAGCATCGCCACCGACGCTTACAATACCTTCAGAGAACCGCCAAGCACTGGTGACTATCATGTTTATTTTCTGATAGAGCAGAACGTATATTATTTTTGTTAGGTACATATATACGAGTGTCTATTACTATTTCCTTCTTTGAATAACTATTTTTTAAGAGTACAGTGGAAAAAAAAAACATTGGGGAATTGTATAGTCGAGAGAACTTAACATTATAAGCCTCTGGAATACTTACTAGTATTAAATGCCTTTTAGTGCCGTTGGATGGTGTCTTGGGAAAGCTTCCAGTCTCCCTCCTGACGAAGGACGAGTGCCAGGAGGCGTTGTACAGTGAGAAATTGCATGAGATCAAGAACTCCTCGGATGCCTTCCTGTGCTCGAGAGAAACCGACGTTGCCACTGCATGTTATGTAGGTCGCTCTAACACAGTAAATTAGTCACTGGAGTTCGAACAAAGAAAATGGTAATACATTAGTTTAAATCCCATAAACACGGACTTTTTTTCAATGACTCTCTCCAGAGCACGTTAAACGGCGGCTCTCCTCTGACGTGCGAGGTCGGGGGTCGCTGGTTCCTCGCGGGTTTGGTGTCCTGGGGCCGAGGGTGCAACGTGCCAGGGGCCCCTCTGGTGCTCACGCGGGTTGCCTCCTTCATGGACTGGCTTCGGGGAGTTCATAAGGTAGAGGTGTGCTTCTGGTTGGTGTATTTTTGTGGGGACTGAATGGAAATGTCCTTACCTGTAAGAGCGTGGGGAGAACAGCTTGTTTTGTGTATATTTTGAAGAATGTTGGGGTATGGTAATGCCGTATTTTATGATGTCATATTCTTAAATATACATCTACGTGATTAATGATTTTAGATTTACATATTAAAGTCGGATATCTGTAGATGAAAATATTCAAGCAAATTATATAATGTTGCATGTCAATCTATAATACTTTTTGTAACCTTTAAAAAAGCATTTTATGCACTGTAATAACTATTTCGATTCCAAACAATAAATGCATAAACCACGTACATTTTATGAGAGACTGATTAAAATACAGTCATAAAGACCCGTATATTTTTCCTGAGACTGAAATCCCAACGAAACCTCTCCTCCCAGCTGACCGAATCGACGAGCTCCCCTGAAGGTCCCCCGTCGGAAGGCCACACCAGCCCCTTCGACACCGAAGCACTCCAGGCTACAGAGTCTCCGATAATCAACGTGATCATAGACTCTCCGGACGAAGACAAAGTCGCTCACAAAGCACCAGGGACTCATGTTGTTCAGAATAATACGTGTGGCTATAAAGGCGACTGGAATGAAGTGCATGATGTTCGTTAA